TATATTCCAGACCTTTAACGGCTATTACAGAAAACAGAGGCCTTTAGTGCACATACTTGACTCATGTTAGTAATATTGCTATCTCAATATGTACAATAATTACAATGTAATAATGTATACAATATCCACTTACAGAAAGTGGATGCTTTAGTGCACATACTTGACACACCTAAGTATTACTGCTATCTGAATATGTACAACTATTACCAAGATACCCATGTGTACCATATTCACCCTCTGTACATGTAATTGTCAGACCTTTAACACTTTTCTGTTTCTAAAGATAGGGGATGCTTTAGTGAACATTCTGGACACACATTAGTACTATTACTATTTGAATATGCATAGCTATTACAACTTATTCATGTGTATCATATTTCCATTCAATGTTTGTACATGTATATGCAGTGGGATGAATAAAAAGTTTATGTTAAAAAAGTGACTGTGATTTTTTTCACCGCTGTTAGCAATATATCTGCAATGTGTCAAATATGTGAAACCTAATATACTCCTAAAAGAAAGCAGTGGAACCTACACTTTCAATTTGGATAGGAAGAGTAAGCGCCAACAAACTTTTCAAAGGTAGGCATCTCATAAACGCACTAACATTTCTCTTTATCACCACCCCTAAACACAACGCATTGGATGCATTCACAGCGCTGTAGCCCCACGAGCATGTCATTCTTGATTTTGACGGTTTTCAAGAAGGTCGATAAATCACTGTAGACCATTAATTTTTGCTTTCATCTTGCACCACATAGTTGTTAGTGTTTGTTTCTAGCCGGTTTATTTTGTTTGAAAATGAAAATCGTACACATGCAAATTTCACGTCATACACTGATCATCTTTCAAGAGCGATTACTGTACAAACAACTATGATCATAAGGAAGTGCAAGTGGTAATGCACTCTCAAAACATTCATTATCATCTTATCAACTGCCATTCACTTGATGGTCAATGAGAGAGCGCCACCTTGGTGGTGAAGAGACGACACTCATGAAAATTGTCTCCAGGAATGTGTGCCGATAATCAGGTCTGTGGACTGTAATTCTCACAGAACTATCTCGGACTCAATGGGGTGCGAATTAAGAGCATTTGGACAACAAATTGGCTGTTTTCAGACAGTTTTTATTGCCTTCATGTCACGAAGAGCAAAACATCGGATAGCCACACGTGTGCGCGTGCTGCACGTGCCTGTGTGTGCACGACTAAGACTGAGTTCAATTCAATTTTATATTCTCACAAACCACCTGATGGTACAAGAGCATATATCAGAAACATATATGCAAATACAAATTCAAATCCAAGATAGCAGACAAACAAATGAAAACAACATATTGACATCTGACAACATGGCTGATATATAATATATTTGGATAAATTTACTCGAGATATTTTTGCAGATAATATTTTTGTAAACTTTTAGGAAAATAAGGTTAAATGAGTTCGTAAATATTGTTTCCTCCAAGTATCTAGTGCCTTGCAATTAAAAATATAATGATATTCATCTGCGATGCTTTTAGAAGTGCATAGTTGACACGTTCTATGATCTTTGGAATATTGTACCAGCGACCCACCTCAATAGTTAAACTATGGTTACATGTTCTAAATCTCTATAATGGTAAAGAAATACGTTTTGGAAGGAGGAGATATGCATCAAAATTGGGAAATGGTTTCAGGTGTTGGTAATAAATTCCCTTGGGACTAGAAATATTGTCATTTTGCTAGTTTGGGATAAATTGATCTTTAAGAATATGTTCTTTTCAGGACCCGTGAAAGTCCGGGTTAACTTGTGCCAAAAGTTTATTAAACGTTTATATATCATAATTCTAATGGGGAATCTTCTTAGTTCTCCATACAAAACGAGGGGTTGGATTTCTTAATCCTGTAATGAATCTTAGGAATTTTAAATGAATTTTCTCCAAAATTTCAAGGTTTTCGAAACACCAGACTTCTGCTCTGTAGGTCAGAAGAAAATTCGAAATTGAAATCCTTTTATTCCGATCTTCAATGTCATGTGGACCAGCTCGAGGCACGCGAAATGCGAAATAACAAAGAACAATGTTGTGATCTTGAACATTCACTCACTGACATTATCTCGGCAAAAAATGGGTGTATGTGGCGCAGTGGAGGTTAATGAAGTGAAACGGTTGCCCAGTTCTAGTTTCCTATGAAAATTAGCGACTGAAATTTGAGGTGTTTAATCGTCAGGGATGTTGAAAGATATGAAAATATATGTCACAGGATTTCACTACCAGTGTTAGGGAAACGCGTCGTAAGTTGAAACCGTTCATTGATGAGGCTAGGGAAGCGGACAAATGCTCCATGGGATTCTATTGTTATGACAAGATTCAGATCAACAATGATGTATAAACTTGACCCTAGCTGCCACCAATAAGTTGATTCCCTTCTGGACACAAAAAAACAATTCCTAATAAGGAAAACACTACCCCTAGGAGTGTGGCCTTAGCCCATGCGCAAACAGTATTGCGAAAACATTATATTTCTTCATTTGGAATTTTGAAAAGTTGGGAAAACTTATTTTGCAAACCTGTAATTCTGGACTTTGTTACAACATTCGATATTGATGGGTTTGTAGAAGCATAGACAGAAGATACTGATCAGCTTGATATGATAAGCTTTGACAACTTTACACAGAACAGAACAAAGAAGCTAATAGCAATACGTAATGCAGGTGGAATTGTAGCAAAGGTTAATGTTGAGAAAACTAATGATGGGATTTGGGTAGGCTTGTAAGCTTAGAAAATATGAGACGTTTTTCTTTAACGGTGAACGGTGAGATGTTGTTGGTGCTTTTCTTTGAAATGCATTTACAGAGACATATTCTTATCCTCATTGATTTTAACGTTCATTTCGACGTTTCAGATAATTCTAAAGCTTGACAGGCATGGCTTACTGTTAGAGTACCCACCCACATAAATGAACATACTCTTGATTGGGTAGTAACAAGGGGTTCTGTAGATCTGATAAGTGAACTCACTGTATCTGACCGACAAAATTAATATCAGATCAGTTCTTCATTACTTTTAACATTTGTTTGACGAGTCCTCTAAACGAAGAGGCTGAGGTAAAATGCAGCAATCTGAAGAACATTGACCATAATCTCTTTAGAGAAGACTTGCAAAACTCTTCGCTTATCAAGAATTCTCCTGCACATCTTGACGACTTGTGTAAGGCATACACACATACTCTGTCTGAACTCTTAGATAAACATGCCCCTGCAGTTATTAAGAAATGATGAGAAATTGCTCTCTCTCTCTCTCTCTCTCTCTCTCTCTCTCTCTCTCTCTCTCTCTCTCTCTCTCTCTCTCTCTCTCTCTCTCTCTCTCTCTCTCTCTCTCTCTCTCTCTCTCTCTCCAAATCCAAATTTGAGGTCCACAGACAATTGAAAATAAAATACAAGAAAGCACGTAATGCTGTTGTGATGACTATCAAGAAAGCAGAGGCCAAGTATTGCATGTCAACATTGTCAGAGTGCAAATCTGATCCTAGGTCGAAGAATCAGTTTGTGTCCTCTCTTATGGGAAAAGAATCAAAAGCCATTTTGCCTCAGTGTGGCAGAAATGAAATCTTGCTAATGATCTTAATGAGAACTTCACCTCTAAAATGGAGAACATTTGGATAAGTAATCATCTACATAATTCAGTCTCTATCCCTTTCAATGCAGTCCCAATGGATGGTTTTGGTAGTTTCACAAAGGAGGAAATCCTGAATATCATCACAAACAGTAATGTGACTATCTGTGACCTGGATCCGATACCATCAGAGATTATGTCGGCATTTTGATTCCTGTCATTATTGACATAGTAAATCGGAGCTTATCTTTAACTGGGGTTCCTTCGATTCTGAAAGGAGCGGTTGCGAAACCCCTAATCAAGAAGCAAAACGTAGATACTTCTAAACTGGGTATTATTATAGACCTGTTTCAAACTTATCATTCCTTTCCAAGGTATTGGAACGGGCTGCGAAGTCCAGACTTTCGTCTCATCTTGCTGAATATGACTTGTTAGACGAATATCAGTCGGCTTACACACCACAGCATTCCCCTGAATCTGCTCTGCTTTATGTTCTGAATGACCTCTTCACATCACCTGGTGATGGAAAGGTTGGATTATTGGTATTATTGGATCTATTCGCTGCCTTTGATACGATTCATCATCAGAGACTTTCGTTGATCCTGAGGAATGCCATGGGTATCAAGGGTACAGCACTCAAGCTAAATATGTATTTCTTGTTTCACGAAACGCTCAAACGTTTTCAATTTTAGTTAACAAAAAGAGTCATTTTACGGCGCTTCATAATTGATTCATGTAATGATGCTGTATGTACCTGTATAATAGACCGGTGGCCCCCTTGCTGAAATAAACACGGTTTCACATTCAGTTGATGTTCAATGCGCTTACAGAGTTCATAGATATTATTACTCTGGATAATCCAAACTGCCTGTGAGGCGCCAGAAGATTAATACCGGGTACCCATTTTCTACGGTTTATACCCGGGACCGCCACATTTGTAATTTCTGTAGCGAAATGTAGTGTGGCGCTCCTGGGCATAGTGAATGGTTCTCTGATATACAACTGTGGCGGTCCCGGTACCGTTCGCGGGTGATTAATTAAATTACCGTACACATTCAAGTCAAGTGTTAACTTGCATGTCAGTTTTATTCAAACACAAGACATAAAAGTAACAAGGAGTTATAATATAACATTTCTAGATTGACATAAACTTAACACTTGAATAATAGAACATTAATAGCATATACTACGATCATAATATACATAACACATAATATAAAATAAGCTGGACACAACTCTATTTATGGTCAAATAATGCATCAATATATTGCACTTAAAAACACAAGGTGATGACGAAGTCGACATGTTGATACTTTGTTTGTAGAAATTTTACTCTCTGGTGGATATGTGTAATAATAATGGTACCTTTTGGTTTACCTAATTTTCATATCATGAGATCATTGTTTATTCAAGATGAAGAACCTCCGAGACATGATCGGTGTACACAATCTCAGACAGGTGTCCGTTCCTCAGGTCATCTTTCAGTTCCGCAATCCGTCTGTTGATAACTCGGTATCGCCGCCTGCGTGGTAGTGCTTGTGGATGTACACGTAGACGCGCTACGCTATCCTCGGTGTTGGACTGCACCAGCTGGAACATTTCAACTGCCTCGGAGATGTTGGGGTGGTCTCCTCCATGGGTCTGGGTCCACTTGCCTTCTGGTCTCGAACAGAGTCAATTTACTCCATGCTCTACCTCGCCCTCATTTTTAACACATCTTCTGTTTTCCTCTGAATTGTTCCTAGTCTTACATCGACTTTGAAATTGTAATAATGTCTCGTTTCTTACACACAGAAATACGCTGACAACTCGACAACACAATCCACTCTTTCAAGATATATTTCATTTTTTATTCCCCGACCGCGTCATACGTAAAGACGTTAAAATATGGTACTTGTTGGTCCCTGCCTGGCGCTCGGCATTAATGGGTACAACAAGGAATGGTCGGCTCGGAGTCAGTATAATGTGTCTGAGTGGGGTATTCATGCTTCACTCCGGCATGGTATCTCAGTGGGATAGCACTATAAAACCAGCTTAAGTCTGGGCTAGTACAAGCAGCCGCACATACAGATACACACGCATGCACGTCATCATATGAGCGAAATATTCTCAAGCACGACGTCAAACCCAATTTCACCTCACCTCACTTCATTTTTTATTCAAAATAGCAAAACTTTGAATTGACCCCGACGTGATTTGAACACGCAACCTTCTGATCTGGAGTCAGACGCGCCACCGTTGCGCCACAGGGCCGTCTGATAAGGCAGAGGACTATAATGTACTTGAAGCACAAATATATGCTCCATGCTCTTCATCGCCCTCATTTTTAACACATCTTCTGTTTTCCTCTGAATTGTTCCCAGTCTTACATCGACTTTGAAATTGTAGTAATGTCTCATTTCTTACACACAGAAATACGCTGACAACTCGACAACACAATCCACTCTTTCAAGATATATTTCATTTTTTATTCAAAATAGCAAAACTTTGAATTGGAGTCAGACGCGCTACCGTTGCGCCACAGGGCCGTCTGATAAGGCAGAGGACTATAATGTACTTGAAGCACAAATATATGCTCCATGCTCTTCATCGCCCTCATTTTTAACACATCTTCTGTTTTCCTCTGAATTGTTCCCAGTCTTACATCGACTTTGAAATTGTAGTAATGTCTCATTTCTTACACACAGAAATACGCTGACAACTCGACAACACAATCCACTCTTTCAAGATAAATTTCATTTTTTATTCAAAATAGCAAAACTTTGAATTGACCCCGACGTGATTTGAACATGCAACCTTCTGATCTGGAGTCAGACGCGCTACCGTTGCGCCACAGGGCCGTCTGATAAGCCGGAGGACTATAATGTACTTGAAGCACAAATATATACTCCATGCTCTTCATCGCCCTTGTTTTTAACACATCTTCTGTTTTCCTCTGAATTGTTCCTAGTCTTACATCGACTTTGAAATCGTAATAATTTCTCATTTCTTACACACAGAAATACGCTGACAACTCGACAACACAATCCACTCTTTCAAGATATATTTCGTCCCCCACCGTGATATTGCTGGAATATTGCTAAAAGCGGCGTTAAACTAAACTCAGTCAGTCAGTCAAGATATATTTCATTTTTTATTCAAAATAGCAAAATTTTGAATTGACCCCGACGTGATTTGAACATGCAACCTTCTGATCTGGAGTCAGACGCGCTACCGTTGCGCCACAGGGCCGTCTGATAAGGCGGAGGACTATAATGTACTTGAAGCACAAATATATTCTCCATACTCTACATCACCCTCATTTTTAACACATAGTAGTATGGTAGCAGCACATTTCCGAGGTGACGTAACGTGACGCAACCTCGAAAATATGCTGCCACACTGACGTCATACACGTATGACGTCACGACGATAGGTCTCGTGACGTCACGACCTACAAACGAAGGTAGTGACGTCACTTGATGGTGACGCAACTTCGAAAATATACTGCCACACTGACGTCACAACCTACAACGACGGTATTGACGTCACGTGGTCATTGAACCGTCACAAATAGGGTGAATGGTCATCTAGTACGTGTTCGTGCATGTACGTGTGTGTGTGTGAGTGCGCGCGCGCATGTGACACCTACTAATGACGTCACACAAACAAAAATGGAGGCCATAAGAATCCGTCCGTCAAGCTAAATTCTCAACTGCTCTCAGACGCGTTTTTACCTCATAAATGCACCATTAGCGTGCCAATAATATTTGAGTTTTTGAAGGAGGCTAGGGAATCTCGTGCTGTCTATGTAAAGCTCTCTACAATACTAGACCGCAAGAAACACTTAGACACTCTTAATCACACGACCACCACGTCTGTGTAAAGCTCTCTACAATACAAGACGGTAAGACGGTGATATTCTACATGAAACAAAATGTGAGGTAGAAAACGGCAAAGCAGCAAGAGTGGTACCGAGTGTTACGTTCTTTACCTCGTATCGTAAACCCAAAGCGGGAACGAATAATAATTTTGAAGGAGGTCTGTAAATGTCGTACTGCCAATGTAAAGCTCTCTACAATACTAGGCAGCAAAACAAATGTAACAAGACACTCAAAAATAACACACCCTCCAGTTTATGTAAAGCTCTCTACAATACAACACGGGGAAGGCGGTTATATTCTACCAAATACAACAAAAGAGATATTGAGTCGGGCTGTCTATGTAAAGCTCTCTACAATACTAGACCGCGCGAGCACCGTATCCCTCGTTGTTTAAACCACCCCAAAATATACCCACGAGGTAGACAACGTCAACACTTTTATATAAAACGCAACAGAGACTAGTAAAAACAACATTTCACAAATTTTATTCGTAAATATGCACATCTACATTTCTACCCACAAATCAACTCAGTTTACAAAACAGTTCTCATGTCAGTATCAAACCTGACGGAGCACGTGATTTTGAGAACCTGTTGTGTTCAAAGTCTATATCGTCTTCTGCACACCATTTCCATAGTCTTAATCCACACCATGCACACACGACCTTGTCCGCCACGCCCGTATAAAAGAATCCTCTCCGGGCTAGCTGTCTTCCCTTTTGAACCATTTGTTCTGGCCAGTCCTGGAAAGAAACCATCCTGGCGTAGCCGCTGAGCATTGCTTCGTAACAGTAATTCTGGCTTAAATCCGTCAGTAGCCTCCTAGGTTCCCCCCACATGTCTCCGCGTGTACCCGCAACTGTCTATCACCGTTTCTCCTCCATTCTCCCTGTTGTGAAACGGTAATTTTGAATCCACATTATCATCACTGAAACGTTGGATACCATATTTCCCGTCCACCGACAAGGTGTCTTCGTTTCCAGAGTCCTTTGATGGCGATACTTCTCCCTTCTTATTGAAGAAAAGTTTACATCTTTCTCCATCGCTCTGGTCATTATACGAATCGGGAACGTAGCAGCAGGACATCGTTATACGGAGCACTCAAAATATACAACCTCGCTCTCGGGCAGATGGCTTCCAACTAGCTACTGCGTGCTGGGGTGTGTGATACTCTCGACACCATCAGCGGCTACGTGCGAAAAGAATAGGGGGGGGGGCGTGACCTAAGGGCGCATCGTCCTGCCATTGGACGGTAAGGGGTCAAATACTGGTCCTGGACATAATTATACCTATTACATCAAACACTGTCGTTATCTCTGTGAGTACCTAACAGCGTAAGCGCTAAAAGCCGGGCTTAACACCTCCTTGTATGGTTGCCTAGTAAGACCGGTTTTGCGACGAGATGACGGCGTGGGAAAAAAATTGACAACATTCCTACAGCTCTATCAATAACCTAATTTTTCGCTCGTCAAAATCCATAGCTCTTAAAGTTCTCGAGTATATTCTTCTTGGCACTATCATACCATCTGAAAACCATGGAATCGTTTGCAAGCGTATTACTTTTACTGAAATGACTAACTATATCGTCTTTAGAAATACCTCGAGATCGCCAGCTACCGAAATATAAACAATGGTGACCGCAAGCTACTGACGACAGACTTTGCACACGAACTCTGTTGTAGGAATAATGCAAACGACCGTATTTTGTCACAAAATCGTGAAATTCGGGCCATATTCGCGTGTAATCTATACCGTACGAGTCGTGCATGTGTAATCTACCGGGTGCCTCTACGCTTAAAGCGAGCCAGTGACTTCCCGGTTCGCTTTTTCTGTCCGTGTTGCAAATAAACAGTATAGGATATTTCAGTCTCTTCATCCCGACTATTTTATTACCACACACCTCTTCCAAAGTATCTCTGCTACTTATACCGCCATAGTTGTTTTTGAGGAAAGGCTCATTACGACCAAACCATTCCAAATCTCGACCGTACAACATTTTAGAAGGATATGTAACTCGTACCTCGTCTACGTCAGTGTATAGCGGCATTTCTAAAGTGGTCAAATTCTATTACGCTGTCCAGCTCTCTATAACACACTAACGTCAGAGCTCGGGGCGTTGGCTGCGAAAATTTCAATTCTATGCCGACCTTACCAGAGCTCTTCGGATACACGTGTGACATGTCAGCACCTAAATCGTGCATTAAATCGACTGACTGACTGACTGACTGAGTTTGGTTTTATGCCGCTTTTAGCAATATTCCAGCAATATCACGGCGGGGGACACCAGAAATGGGCTTCACACATTGTGCCCATGTGGGGAATCGAACCCGGGTCTTCGGCGTGACGAGCGGACACTTTAACCACTAGCCTACCCCACCGCCCCCGTTAAATCGAACACAAACAATGTAGTGCCGTCTTAAAACTCTTTGAGAGTTACTGTGTGCGTGGAATTTCTCCCCAAACCCCCTGTATTTCTAAACAGCTCTAGGTATGTCTGATACATCCGTGTAGAGTCGGGTTCGAAATTGACGGTATGGCATCTTTTGCCTACCTCCTGACCGTTTACTTTAACGGCTATTTCCGTCAATCCAAAAGGCTGGAAATTAAAAGGATTTTTGTTCGAAACCCCCCCAAAGGATTCGTTGTCAACGAGACCGAGTACTATTCTTTTAGGAATGTGACCCATTATTAAATGTTCGGAATCATATTCTCTCAGGCCTTGGGGAATGTCGTGTGCCGTAGTTTTCACCTGGGCTATGGGATATTTCACGGTACTTCCATGCGTCAAACCTCTAA